TGCATTTTTATCTGAAATGAAGCTCTAAATTTGTAGCTCTTAGTTGCGGCAAAGAATCAAACCATATAATGGTTCTGATAGAGAGAATTTACATTAGTAGGTCTAAAAGACATCAAGTAGCAAAGGGTTTATGATTAATATATTATCATAATAACATTATTATAAATATACATTTTTTCTTAAAAGTGTCTCTTGATGTGGAGGATAAAGATGATGACTTCCACTCCAGCACAAACCTTTTGTACAAGCCAGTGAGCCCCACGATCGGAGAAGAGAAACCAGTCCTTGACGAGCCAGTGGGAAACCAGCAAGTTTTCGGCAATCCTAAAGACCACTGGAATGCCACCTATATTATTTTCTTCCTTCTTGGGACTAACTCTCTCTTGCCCTTAAACTTCATCATCACTGCAAAGCATTATTGGATGTATAAACTTCAGAATTGCTCAGAAGAAACTTCTCTTGTAGAGCAGGGATCCTCAGATATTCGTGTAAGTATGGCATTTTTGTGATTTAAGTTGACTCTGCTCACACATCACTTTCTGTATAGATCTGAGGGTCCTGTTGTCATTAGTAGCAAGTACAAGTGAAGCACAGCCTGCATATTGATTCTCAGTATCTATTCAGTGTTGATCAAAATAGCAGTAATAACGCTAACATTTCTAGAATGAAGTTGCCTTCATTATCATGTCCTCCCACTTAGCTTTTTGTGATTATAGTTTTATTTTGCCATTTTTTTCCCCCATTCACTGGAAATGCTAGAGCAGTCCCCTTGAAAATCATTGCCTCATCCTGTCTTGCTCTTAGTAAGCCAGTGTGGTCCAGTGGTGGAAGTGTTGGACTTGAAGCAAGGACATCCAGGTTCTAATCCACTCTCAGCTATGGAAGCCCCCTAGATGACTTTGGGCCAGTCACTCTTTCTCAGTCCAACCTAACCAAAAGAGCTGTTGTTATGAGGAAGAACAGGAAGAGGGAGAATTACCTATACCAGTCTATAACTATATAGACTGAGAGTTCAGTTTCTGCACCCAAGCAGAAAGTCAAATCACACTTCACGTGTAATGATCTTCCAAGCAATGGTTGTTTGGTCTATATACCTCCAAGCAACTGTTTCAACTTCAGTCTTAATCAGAGCACCAATATTGAAGGAGGCGATGTATAAAACTTTAGCCCTTTGGCATTGCTCTGGACTAGATTTCCGCTTCCAATAGCCTTGAGTTTCTGAAGGGAAGTTAGGATATAAATCTAGCAAATAATTAAATGTTAAGTGTGTGGATTGCTGACATTGCATTATGAGTCTCCATACCAGACAGAAGTCAGAGTCAGCTTCTCCAGTGGAACTTGTATTTCTTATATAGAAGCAGAAAATCAGGACTCTGGTAGCACCTTCTCAGACTACAAATTTTATTAAAAGGTATACGCTTTTACTAAATGTTTTAGTCTGAAAAGGTGCTACCAGACTCCTGATTTGTGGCTACCATAGACTAACCCAGCTCTCCTACAGTGTATAGAAGCAAGTCATTGATTGGCTTCAGTTGGGTCTGCAAACACATATCTGATTTCTGTCAATAAACAACTGGGTGTTTTAATTTGGAGAAATGTAAAACAAGGTGGGAAAGCAAGTGGTAGGTAGGGTGATGGCCTTCTGGTTTTTGGAAAGGCAACTTCCACAACTCCTTGCCATCAGCCACACCTGCTGGACTGATGGGAGGTGAAGTCCAATGCAGCTGGAAAGTAGCAGGTTTCCTACTCGTGTACAATTCATATTCCTACAATGTATAGAAAGTATACAGTTTGTGGAGAAATTGATACATGACACGTTTTTCTTCCCTATCTCTGGATTTTTCTTCCACTGTGGGAAATAGAATTTGGAATTAGATGGATCTTTGTTTTAAGCAGTGAAATTGACTTGCAAAAGATTCCGGACAGATGAAAGGATTGGCTTTGTCACACAAAATTGTTTCCATCTGATCCTTCAGGGTTCTTGTGTGTCTGTGTTTGTGTCTGTGTGTAGTTTCTTGCAAAAGATAGTTGGGGCAAAAGGCACATTTCTCTTCCAGTGCTGTAAAAGGGAGGGAATTTTCACTATCAGCAACGCCTTCTTAGGACTGAGAATTTTTCAAGGCTTTGGTTTAACCATCTAAATCAGTTCACAAAAATTGCTACCTGTAAAAATGTTCAAAAGCCTGTCTAGCAGAAGAAGAATAGAGAACATAATTTTCAGGACCCCCCATTTTGTTTCTATATGGGATGCACAGGTGGGACAAGGAGATCCCATTTCTTCCACACTATCCACAAGATCTTCCTGGTCACCCCGGTTAACCAAGCTAGAACTTTAGTATAAATTTGTATTTGTCTAGACTCATTGGCTATATTAGTTTTATTTCAGACACTTAAGGGTTGCTTTTAATGAAAGGGGCATAAAACAAATTTGTGGTCTGTCTTTAATACCGGAAGCTCTCTCAAACCTCACTGCTCACCCCAACTCCTGAAAGAGATTGCTGATATTTAGAAGTGGTGTGTGTGTTTGGGTGTGTGTGTATAAAGCACACATAGAGAGAGATGGTTCACTGCTATTACTTTAAAAATAAATGTATCAATAAGACACAAGAAAGGGTATGAATTTCCAGCCTTGAGATAAGAGACTTTGCTGAGCCTGATAACTCAAATGTTTATAGCTTTTTCAGTTGCCCTGGCATCGTCTAATGGTGTTAAGCTCACAGACTTACTGAGACTTTGTTATAATATATGGACCATGACAACTTTCCAGCTGCATAATTGTAACTACTATTTAAATCCGGAGCTCTATCAAACAAAAGATCAGTCCAGATCACAGTGTGGCAGCTCATGTTTGGATCTGATATGCCAAGATAGAGACAGAATTCTCATAATAGGTTTTGGGAATGCAGTGCGCTACATAGTCATCACATTCAGACCTCATGTTCTCTTCCGCCATGGCAAGTTCAAGAAACAGATTTTGGAGGCGTGAATAACTATTAGGCATACAAGACTGATCTGAGCTCAGTCTATTTGTCTTGTAGCTAGGATTAATAACAGAATTAGAGAGGAGGCAATGTAGCTTACTCTTTCCAGGTACCACCTTTGGAAAAGGTAGATGAGAGTTCAACTTCTGCAGCCAAACAGAAAGTCAAATCACACTTCACGTGTAACCAGATCTTCTAAGCACTGACTGTTTGGTCTATATAACTCCAAGCAACTGTTTCAACTCCAGTCTTAATCAGAGCACCAATATTGAAGGAGGCGATGTATAAAATGTTAGCCCTTTGGCATTGCTCCGGACTAGATTCCCACTTCCAACAGCTATGGGATCCTCAACAAGAGCTTCCAAGGAAGGTGAACTAGATTCAGGAAATAGAGGGGAAGAGGAGAACTAAGCATGTCTACCTATTCTGTTCCAATAAAAATCAAAATTCCCAGAAGCTGAATGCAAGTTGTCCTTTAAAAATGTAGAATCAAGAAGTTGGGAGACACAACAGTAACAGGTCCAGAAGATTCTTCATATGTAACTTTTTGCTCCTGGAAAGAGCAAGTGGATAAGATGCCTGCCTTCCTAAATGTTCAACTTTCTGCCAGCTTTCCACTTTTACTGATGAAGCTTCCAGTCAGTTTATATACATACCTCTCTTTCTCAGTTTTCCTGATACAGATCTCATTTTCAGTTTGAGAACAGTCTCCTGCAAATTAGCAAATAAACAGTATTTTTTACTCTGTTTCCAGACATGAAACTTCTTTGCTTATTTTTAAGAACATTTCTTAAGTAGACTACAGCAAGAATGCGTGCTTTTAAAATGGTAAGAGTAGCTAGTTAAAAACATCCAGATTACACCTTGAAGGCTTTCCTACAAAGAAAGATTTTCACCAATTTCCAGAAGTTAGGCTCAGCCACAGAAAAATACCCTCTTTTTAGTCCCAGCTAGAGGTATCTTAGGAGTTATTTGGACATTCAAGATGGTTTTCATGATGATGTAAACATGCAGGCAGGTTGATACTGAACAGCAAGATCCTTCTAGTATTCTGGTTCTAAACTATGTAGGGTTTTAAAGTCAACTGCAGCACTTTCAACTGTAACCAGTAATGGAGTAACATCTTCCCTGTTAATTGACTAGGTTGCAGCCTTTTCACCCAAATGTAATTTCTGAATATTCTCTTGAAGTGTTCTGCATGTGGCCAATTGCTCTGCTACTCCCCGGTGGTCTCCTGTCTTCTAAACCAAGACAAGGTTATTCTGGTGCTGCTATGTGCTAAGACTTCTTTACAGTGTAGTGCAGTAATCCAGACATCATGGATCTAAAGCATATGTCTCCTTGAACAAATCTGAGTTGTTTAGGCTTGGCATAGCAGTCTAAACAGAATAAAGATACTCCTGGGGATTGGTGATATTTGAGTTCAGAAGAAGCAATCAATTTGTGTTCTCAAGAGGAATGCTATTGTTCAGCACGGATTGAACCCCAATTCCCAGGTCAGTTCTATTGCCCAAGCACAATTCTTATCAGAATTCAGCTTCAATTTTTAAGCCAACATTGACTATCTCTATAAGATGTAGCTAACATATCTCTGTCAAATGTTTCAAGACCTTTACTACCTGTTTGGGATGAGATGTAGAGAAGAGAGAAAGTAAGGTTTCATCTCCTTATTAGTGACTTAAAGCTCCAGGGATTTATGTAGATGTTAAATAGTATGGGGGATAGTATAGAACCCTATGAAATGCCATAGGCCAGCAGCCAGAAGGACAACGGATAAGTCTCAATGCTAGCTGCTTGTTTTTCATTATTATTATTTATTGAATACTTGGAAGAACATACATAAACAAGTCCAAGAGAGAACATGAAAGAAGAGTAAAATAATATAATACCAATAAATAAACCAGAGATTTAAAATGTCATGGATCTCATAGCTTTCCAAAATATCCCTTCATTATGAATAGATACATTACATGTATCATGTTAAGGGTCTAAGAATCACTAGTGAACGTAAACTAAAAATGATTAACATTTTTAACATAATAATGGTCAACACAAGATAAATCAAATGTTCAGTCCATATTATTAATAATCTATGCCGTCCAGATTTCTCCCCTCTCACGTAATTATCAAATGTATACTTTTATGAAGGAGAAGGTACTAAGAAATTTGTTCAGTGGGGAGCTAAGAATTCATTTAGATTGCATGACTTAATTACTAGTAAGACAAAGATAAAATCCTTTGAAACTTCTAACTTCACAATGGTCCAGTTTACCTGATTGGGTTCATTATCTTCAGATACATAGCATAGGTTCAGAAGAATTGCAGAAGCAAGGGGAAATGCTGAGAGATTTGATTCAACTAAATTTGAACATACGTAACTCAGCACAAGCTTCTAAGATGGTTCCTCCAGGAAGGACTGAAGCTCCCATACAACTGTATCTCCAAGTCTATATGTGCTAGTCTTTCCCAAAGGGCTCCATGGTTGACATTTTCAAAAGCCATTTACT